GTAGTAGTAGTTTTATATTCTTATTATATTTAGATATATTTTTTGTTATACTATGAAAGTTACTTATTTACAACTACTTTTTATCCGTAGGTTTTTCTGTGAAGAGTTCAGCCCTACAGTCAATACCGCTTAATCCTGGAAACAGACAACCCAAGTTACTTTTATCCCGTATCAATCAATAACATCATGTCTATATTTAAGTCATAATGAACTTTGACCAGCAGATCAAACAAAGTCCAGGCTATAGTGGAGCATCTAATAAAAGATTTATTTATGAAAGTGTCGCCACAAAACTAAAAAAAAAAAAAAGATTCAGCTTTGTTGTTTGTTTTGTCAGATTGCAGGCGAATATTCAAATGACTTGGCAAATGAGTTATAAACCACTGACAGCCCGAGCTGAGCAATAATTCTACCTGTGAAAATATAGAAAAGATGCAATAAAAGTTTAACTGCCCGAGTTATTTGCACCCAACGCTGAGAAACGCGAATCGCCTTTCATGGTGCGCTTTTGTTTCGTATTTACGGCTGCGGCAAGGCCCAGACATGTACACTTCAACGTGCTCCATGGACGATGACGTCATGCCCTCTCCAGCGGCACGAGGCTGCGGGATGGTGTGTCGATGTCTGTAAACAGCGCAGATGTAGGGCACAGGTCCGTGTGCAGCTCCCATAAATCAGAGACGAATTCAAAGGAAAACACAAGATAAAGCGTGTAAGTGAGACTTTACATGTCACCAGAACAGCCTGCTGCTGACCAGTGACCACTCGACCACTCCCACCCCATGCAAAAAGCTATCATTTACACAGTATTTACAAAACATCAGACAGAGCCCTTCATCTAGTGGTGTCACTCAGATTATTAGTAAACAAGCAACAAACAGTGTATTAAGGCTTTAACATCATATTTATCCCATCTTCTTATGGAAAATGTATCTAAATATTAATTTACTACCCTTATCTTCATAGCTCAGTTAGACAGTTTAAAATGGATCTTTAATACAACTGAAAGAATGTATTTTAATACAAGTTACACCTTTGTGCATTGCACAGATCAACAACAACCCCCCACACAATCCTGCTGTCGAAATGCTCCACTTTTCTTTCTCAGTCACTGGTTTAGTTGGCCTCTCTGCCTGGCTGCCTCTGGTGGAAAGAAACATGCACATGTCCTGTGTGAGCTCATTTGCTGGGAACGTCAGAGGGGCTGTGCAGCTGGAGAGAGCAGCAGAACGGCGTGCCGTATACCTATATTAAATATGCATTCACAAGGGCTCTTCTGTATGTTACATATCAGCAACAGATTTATTTGATTCCACTGAGGTTTTATTTATAATGTTTTTATATTTCCCAGACTGTGGCCATCAGCGTTGCACTGCAGCAGCAAGAGTTTCAGTCTGGCCTCCATCGCTTTAGATTTGCAAATAAATCTGATTCCTCACAACCAAATGCAACTAGGAATGTGTCCTACAGAGGGCAGCGATGCATAACAATTATAATGTATGAGTAAAAACTCCAAGAAGCACTGAACCAGTAACATCAACATACTTTTTAGAAGTATAAGCACTTACCAGGGACTTTATCAGGTACACTGTGCTACCGTCATACTAGACCCCCTTGTCCCTACAGAAGTGTTTTGATGCTTCATGGCACAGATTTAACAAGTTGCTGGAAAGATTCCTCTGAGATTTGGTCCATGTTGACAGGATAGCATCTCGCAGTTGCTTTGTTGGCTGCACATCCATTAGGATAGGGGTTTGTGTTGGTGTGTGAGGCTGTAGCCTGTAGGTTTATGTTGTTATGTGGTAATTATGAGACAGTGTGTTTCAAATCATTTTAAATAGTAACATGAAGAAAACATAACAGATGTCTTTCTCCTGTGTGTAATTAAGTAATGTAATGCATTATTTTAAGAAAAGTGTTCTGTGTAATATACACATATTGCACAGAACACTATAATATATACACACACATAGTTAAATACGTTAGGTTGATGCCATGTGACTGGCTGTTGAGACATAATGAACAATAGACAGGTATACCTAATAAAGTGGTCTGTGGGTGTACACAGTCTTAAAAATAGTAATGTCATTAATAAATAACCTCAGAGACAGTCTCTTTCAGCAAATGATGAAATCTTTTATTTATTCCTTTGGCCCAGCCTTTTTCTTGGCTGGTGTTACCTCAAAGAGGTGGTGTACGTAAAAAAAAAAAAGAAGAAAAAAATGTGTTGCTGCAGATCTGTGTCCAGACTCTCTGAAGTCTTTATAGTGCTGCAAAGAAAATACAAATAAACTCAGTGTGAGTGTTTTATTTCAAAATTTTGGCTATTTTTGATTTTATCTTTGTATTTCACCTTTAATTTTTGTTGTCCCTGCCTCGTTTGGTATCATTCTTTTCAGCACAATCTCACGTCTGAATTTACAGTTATTTTTTCAATGACATGCTGAATTAACACAACTGATCTGAAATCACACAGAAAGATTAAAATTGAGTATGAAAATGTTATTACCAAAGCTTTCCCCCCTTCCTACATAACCAAATCCCACGTGTTACCAAATCATTTCTGTTGGTCAACATGGTACACTTTTACACCAATCCGATCGTTAAGTCTGACGTCACTAGCCGTGTCTGGGCCTAAACTCCGCTGCAGGTCCATATATCAAACGATCACTATGGCATTACTGAGAGTTGAAAAACTGTCTAAAGTCTTTCATCTTTAATAAAATGATCAGCGTTCTGCTCTACCAGGTGTAACAATTGAGTTTAACATCCAGGCATCCATGAAACATTTAACGGAGTTAGAAGTTAGCAGGAAGTTAGCTCGCTAGCTTCCATCTAAATACAATATAGCATGTCCTGACTGCGGGGTTTTGGAAACAAATTAAAACGTACAGCTCTGTTATCACTTCCAGCATAAATGAAGATAGAAAACTAAACAGCAGTGACGTTTGTAGGGTTACTGAAGTTGGGCTAGCTGGTATATAATGATGTGCTACGTGACCGCTAGCGACACAGCTATGTTAGCATAATATAAACAAGCTAACTTTTTTTCCACTCGATAAAAGTTAACGTGAGTGTTCTCGGTGGTCAGGAACAAATGTAATCGCATGGCAGGATGCTGTAAAAGGACCAAACTTCAGCCAGGAGAACAACTGAGATAATCCATCCACAATACGAGGTTAGTCATTCATATACTGCTGCATGGGCTGGGCTGTAGCTACATCCTAAGGTTTTAAAAACTGAGCTTAAATAAATGATTAGCGGTAATAAAAGCCGAGGGAGGTCAACAGTGATCACTGACTGTTTTAGGAGCTTTTTGAGATTAAATAGAAGAAAATACAAAGCATTAAACATGTTAACAACACAAAATCCATATTAAATGCAGACTACTTTAGGCCCGGAAGTAGGATTTGTCACGTCATCACTTAATAATCAGGTAGGAAAGGGTTGGCATTTTTTTTCCTTTTCATTTTTTCTTGCACTGTTTTATGCAAGTTTTATGCGATTTACTGGTGAAATGGCATCCAAAAGAAAATCATACAGTGATAAGGAAGTTGCTTTGTTGAATATGATCTGGAATGATAGTGGGACACAGCTTTGTGTGGAAGATTCATCTTCAGATGATGAGGACCTCACCAATGTTCCCTCTAAACTGAACGCGTGCGCAATTGCGCACTGCTGGCACGGTCTCTGCACACAGAAAATCTGCGTTGCGCACCAAAAAAAAATCTAACCTGAATTGAAATTAAAATGAATACTCTAACAATTCTGTTTTGCAGTGTTAGTCAGTGACTGACTGGCTGCTCCAGTATGGGATCAGAACGATGCCACCTTATCCCATAGTCCAGCCAATAATGCGATTCACATTCGTATATACGCAGCTAATCAACGTTGTTGACAGGCTATGACAGCGTCCTTATGGGCCGACACAGGTGTTTTAGTTACCAAAGCAGCATGGCTGATGTGGAGTGAAGCCACGTTAATGACAACGTGTACAACCATTGGAGATGTGAGCAGGACAGACGGAACAATTGAGGGAAAAAGTGTGGACTTTACACCAGTTTTTAAATTGTGTTGATAGGCCACGTACAACCAGAGTTATGATAAAAATATGCAATGTTTGGTTTTCTTCCTGAATACTATCGTTGTTTATATTTACTGCGGGAAGAAACGGTAAAAACGGCGTTTTACAAGGAAAACGCTCGAAAGCACTCCACCTGTGAGCAAAACCAAAACCCCACCCTTTCCTATTGGTCGAAAAATGTACCATGTCCACCAATCAAAAAATGATATGGCAACATGGCATTTAGTTGTTTAGGAATGGGGGAAGTTTTAGGAGTGACAGCGGTGTTTTGAGATGTGAGAGATTTGTGACGTTTAGCACAAATCTTGTGTAGTTAGTGTGTAGTGTAGTCAATAGTTTTGTTTTGTGTGTCAGAACAATGAGGTGACTGCTGAATGTTACAGGTGTTACAGCAGTGATACACCTCCTGTTGTCAGGCCTGCAGGTATCAGGCTTGTGATGTTCTCCTTTATCTCATAGTGGACAGAAATTATTTTTTGGAGTGGCACAAATAATTTGTGTGGCATCAGATTTGATGCAGAACAGCTGATTGTTCTGTAAATAGTTTGAAATGTTTATTTAAAAAACGCCTTGGCTGCATTTTTAGGTTAAACAGCTGCAAAAAACTTTGTTGTTTGCAAAACTCAGTTACTTTTTTGAAGAAGTAACTATATAATTAATTGCCCAACATTGGTCATTAATATACTGTATTATGCAGACAGAGAGTTACAGGACTCTCTCCCAGACCACAGACTCATAATACAAGTCACAGCTTTTTAAAAAAAAAAGAGTTTTGTTTTCAGAGTTTTCTTTTCTTTTTTTTAAATTTTCATTGTAAGTGGGCTAAAGCAGTTAATTAAAAGTAGTCTAACATAAATGTAAATGCTGTACTTTGATTATTTTAATAAACCATGTAACTTGGATGGATTCGATGCTGGCGTGACCACAGTGCACACGTCTGCTGTTGCTCACAGTGGTCCAAGGGACGCTCAGGGAGTTTGTGTGTTCGCTCAGACACATGAAAAATTAGAGGGAACTTTGGACCTCACCATTCCAGTTCCAGAAAATAGCAATTTAGAAGTTGTGACACTGCTGCCTGAAAAGTATGTTATCACAATTCTGTTATGGAATTCATTCTATCCAATGAATCCCGTGTATGAAAAAAATTCTATATAGATCAAATTTGTATGTTTAAAAACAGATAGGGCTGAGAATTTCATTAAACATGAAATTACATATCACGTTTTCTACATGTTAGGATACCTGGGTCCCAGTGGTTATGGTTTTGATTTATCTATAATCTTTGATTTAGTGTTTCTGTTATTTACATTTGGAATTTCAAGCTCCCCTATATATTTAGTATTTCTGATGTGTAGTTCTTAGTTTTGTTACAGTGCCTTCCCTGTGTTCTTGTGTCTCTTTGTCTCAGTTATGTTTTCATGTCTGTTCTTTCCCCGTCTCGTCTGTGTGATTAGCGCCACCTGTGTTTCCTCTTTGCCCTGTTCCCCTCTTGTATTTAGTATCTGTCTTTTCCTCTGCTCATCGTTGTCCTCGTCCTCCCTCATTCCCCGCTGTGTGTCCTACCAAAAACATATGATTTTGTTATAAAATTTCAGCTCTCACGTGGAAGGCTGAGACTTCCAAATGGCTGATTCAGACACTGGCTACACCTGGAATTTTTTTGTTTGCACGGGAAAGAGTGAGGTCAGCACAACATATGGACTAAGCTACTCAGCTGTTATGGATCTTTTACCTCTGTTGTTGCTTGGTCAGGGCTACATTTTGTATGTGGACAACACACAAGCTCTACACAAGCTCTTTTTTGGTGAGCTATACCAAAAAAATAAATAAATAAATTGGCTGTTGTGGCACAATTAGAATTTAATTTATTTTGATTTAGAATGAGGGACAATACATATTAATGAACATTTTAACAAATGTAAAGAAAAAAACTGACTGGCTTTCCGCACACAAGCAAAAATGACTTTCCTAAGAAGGCAGAGAGGGGAGATGTGCGCTGGATAAGGAAAGACGAACTGCTGTTTGGGAAGTGGACTGACACACGAGAGGTCACAATGTGCTCCACGGTGCACAAGGCCAGAAAGACTGTGCAGCGAAAAGTGAAGGGAGCTGCAGGTTGGACAACAAAGGCTGTACCTGTTCCGGATTGTGTTGTGAACTACAACAAGAACATGGGTGGTGTTGATTTGTCCGATCCTCTGATTGGTTATTACACTGTCCTCCATAAAACTATGAAATGGTATAAAACTTTTTTTTTTTTATCATTTCTTAGACATTGCTGTCGTTAACAGTTTTTTTTTTTGCATATGGAGTTATGCAAGAGCTAGGGTAAGGAGACAATGACACAAAAAAGTTCCAGGAGCACGTTGCCAAGGAGATGCTTGACTTTGCTGTTACCTCAGCATCACCACCACCAACACAAATGCCTAAACCCAACTGCATGCCACGTTATTTGGCAGCAATGCAACAGTTTCAAGGAGATATTGCAGGACGTACCAGGATGCTGGCATCCCGAGTGTGAAAACCCCAATTTCTTGTAGGGCTTTATTTCTTTGTTCATGTAAACGGTCATCCAATAATATTTAATATTCAAGTATGGTGAGCAACCATTAACAATTTAGAGGTATCAAAGCCGTGTGCTTAACTTCTCCAACTCTACAGACCTATTCATGACAGAGAACTGCTCCAAAAATGACCCCCTAGTTACGTTAGACTCACTTGGAAATGAAATAAATTATTTTTAATAATTTGCATACACACCCAGAGACACAGAGGCTTGGAAGGACCTTTGATGATAATGTCGTAAGGCCAGGGAACTCATCATTGTAAAAAACAAGTTTATGTTATGGTTCTGAGTCTGAGGACTCAGTGTTTTGTTTTAATTAATATTATCTTATGTTTCGGTTTAATTCTGGTTATGTCTTCTGCTAGGATTTTTAGTTCTTAGGTTTTGGTTCCCGTGCTCCCTCTGTTCTGCATCTAGTCTGTGTCTCTGTGCCTGTCGTGTGCTTCGTGTTTTATTTTGACAGTGCCTGCTCTGCATTCAGTCCTGAAGTTTGTTTTTGACCTAGTCTTTGACGAGAACGCTACACAAGTTGACATTTTTGGAACACCATATTGGAGAAGAACATGGATACTGATTCGTTTGAAAACGTGAATCAGTCCCTGGAGGCTGACTCACCTCCAGATCCTCCAAGTACCAAATTTGAACTCTCCTTGGAGAAGGGTCTTACGGCACAGTTGCAAAATGTGTCAGAATGGCTGACAAAAAGACTGTAGCTATTAAAATAATAAAACATCAGAACCCAAAAGACCTGTTGGAAAACCAAGAGGTAAAAACAGCTGCCAAAAATTTCAGCTAGAAAGATGTGTGGAGTGAATGTAAGGACTGTGATGAAATGCCTGTAAAATGTTTATTTCTGTTACACTAATGTAAAAACCATTTGTTACGGAGCCCCCCAGGGGACATGGGAGAAAAAAAAATTGGGGAGGAAAAAAAAAAATTAGGGAGGAAAAAAAAAATTAAGACGGACTTTTGCGAG